ATCGTTCTCCTTGTTGTTCTTGTGCTGTTATTGTTGTGGCGTGGGGCCGTTAAAGCCCGGCTGGAGCTGGTTGACTATGCGTGGCAGGTGTGAGGAGACGTGACCACATTAAGCTGCTGCAGAGTCAGGGCTCAACCTGCTGCATCCAGTCTGCTCTCTGAGTTAACGAGTTTTTACTGCAGACCAACAGCCCAATCACAGCCTGCCTCGCTCCTGCAGGTGACTCCAGATGAGTTTCAGAGCATTTGGGGGTTTGAGGGGGCCTGCTGGCCTTGACCAGCATAGAGGACCGGGACATTTCTGAGGGCCTGACAGCCATTTTGTCACGGTGGTAGTCCTGGCTGAGGGTTTTTCGTCTCGTCTTTTTCTAGTCTCGTCATTTCCTGTTTTATTTTGAAGAATAACCCTCATCTCGTTTCAGGTCACTTGCACTTCCTGTTGTATTCTTTTGCTACTTTGTTCCAGCCTTTTTCCTCCTCGTGAGTGACTTTGCTTTGTAACTTTCTTCAGTATTGTTTTGTTACTTTTCCGCAGCCTCGTTACAAGTGCCTTTTTGAGTTTGTACTTTGCCCCTCCGTTTTGGAGCGCTTTGTGTTACTCATTGTGTCCACTCCTTTGAGTGTATCTTTTGTTAATAAACTTTGGATTTTTGACAAGCTCCGCATCTGAGTCCTCGCTGAGTTTCCATGGCCTGACACATTTTGTCCAAAACCCCCCAGTGAGGCGTGAGAGATCCACCAGTCCAACCTGGGCAGCTCTATTCCGTCTGCTGTGGTGACAGCAGCAGGTTTCTGCTGTTCAGAGTGTGTTAGCCATCTGCTCCCCCCCCCCCCACTGGATCCATCACTTCCCTTTGATTTCAGAGCTGGTTTCTGTTTCATCATGAAGCCAGAAGAAGAGAAACAAACAAACACAATTGAATATTTCCTGATGAATCACAGCTAAACTCGGCCTGCGAGCCCTTCTTCCTGTCTATAGTTGATATGTTGATGTTTTCACATGAGCCCACGCACCG